GGTTCATTCTGCTGCCTTGTGCAAACAGAGGGGAGGGAGAGCCCCTAAGATGTCCTTCCAGCAAACCTGGCACACTCTGCTGTCCGAGAGCCATGGGCTGAGCGTGGCACTTGGCAGGCAGGCTTTCTCATGGCAGCTGCTGAAGGAGCCCCACGAGGAGCCCTCCTTTCCCAGAGCTGTCTGCAAGAGCAGCTTGGTTCTTTTTCCCATCCTTTGACTCACGTCTGTCTGATGGGCAGGAAGCATCTTGGAGTTGAACTGCTTTCCTCAGGGAATAAGAACGAAGGAAATAACATTGTTTGCTTTGCACTGAGGGGCAGGTTTCTTGCCTGGCTTTTCCATATGGGCAGCAATCCTCCTGGCCCTTCCGTGCCACTGCAGAGTGTTATGGTGCCAACTACTCCGTTGTGACTCTGATCTGGTAGGGGTTTACTGCCTGGCACTGTTCATATCATAGAACCATAGAAGGGCCTGGGTTGATCATCTAGTTTCAACCCCCTGCTATGTGCAGAGTCACCAACCACCAGACCAAACTGCCCAGAGACACATCTCTGTTTGGGAAACAAGTTGAAATTAATAATGAGGGATGAGGGTTTCACTCCATTTCACTGCATTTCGCTCCAGCCTTGGAAAAAAGGCCACAGTGCTCATCCAGACATGTTTTGTGTGTGTGTGTGTGTGTGTGTACACACATGCACAAATACACATCCATGTGATAGTGTGTGCATACACGTGCATATACGTGTGTCCCTGTGATGTCTCACAGTGAGGTAAGTGCTGGCTTGGGTCCTGGAGGCACTGGGAAGCAATGAGGTCTCCAAATAGCAGTCAGCTTTCTAAAGTTCTGCTAATTGGATTTGTTCACATATGCTGTGGCTGATAAGCAGAAGGTTAGTAAGAAAGTTGATTTTCCTAGTTGCCAGATTTCTCTTTTTAGTCAAATAATTTAAGGGAGAAATACAGCTAAAGGCATCAGATTTATTCCTGGTCTTAATACAGAGCAGGGATGACTGTATTTTAAACATCGAGCCCTTCTGTCAGCAGCTTGGTTTAAAAGCAGTAATTCCAGTTGGTTCCCATCATCTGACTTATTTTTAAAACGCCCCCCCACATCCTTCTCCCTATTTACTGCATCCCTGCTTGGCAGTATTTGGGAATATGTATTGTAAAAGGGGGAAATGAAATAGCAAGGAATGAAAGCAGTTTTTTTCTGCAGTGCTGTTTCCAGCTTGGATCTCTAAGCACACAACATCAGCCAAGGGGTCTGTGGGATGGCACATTTCCTTCCATCAGGGCAGAGATGTTGTGTGAGCATCCTCAGTCAGTCACAGCCTGTTCCAAGGTTGCATATCTATCCTTGAAACAACGAGAGGGGATTTTTCACTCATCAGAGGGTGGTGAGGCACTGGAACAGGTTGCCCAAGGAGGCTGTGGATGCCCCATCCCTGCAGGCACTCAAGGCCAGGCTGGATGTGGCTCTGGGCAGCCTGGTCTGCTGGTTGGCGACCTGCACATAGCAGGGGGTTGGAACTGGATGAGCATTGTGCTCCTTTGCAACTCAAACCGTTCTAGGATTCTATGATTTTGTTCACCCCTAAACCCTCTGCACCAAGAACTGGGTCAAAATTCTTCTGCAGTATAGGAGCAACAAAGCACTGTATTTGGCCTGATTTTAACTGGGAGGAAGTTGATTTTCTCCACCATAGCTGCAATGCTGCTCTGTTTCAGATTTAGGATGAGGATAATGTTGGTTGTACACAGAGCGAAGGACTTGGTGCTCCTTGTGCCCTTCCAGAGGGGTGCAGAGAGCTGGGGTGGAGGCATGGCCAGGCCAGCTAACCCCAGGGCAGTTAGGGTTAGGGATCAGTAGGGTTAAGGTTTAGTGTGGTGCTGTGCTCAGCAGTAAAAGCCAGAGGGAAGGAGGAAAGCAGTTTGGGATGTTCCAAGGTATGGGTTGGTTTGTCTTCCCAAGAACCCATTCATTACTTGTGACAAACCCTGCTATCCAGGGAATGTTTGTTCTGCATTGGGTATGAGTAACAGACCCTGAACTATTTCAAGAGAAATTCAGTGCTGGAGAAGGAAATCTGTGAGTGGTTTAGCTGATGTGAGGAGCTGGGAAAGGGGAGATAACAGCAGGACAAGAGGAAATGGTTTGAAGTTGAAGGAGGGAAGATTGAGGTTGGATATCAGGGGGAAGTTCTTGACAGAGAGAGTGGTGAGGTGCTGGAACAGCTGCCCAGAGAGGCTGTGGATGCCCCGTCCATCCCTGGAGGTGTTCAAGGCCAGGTTGGATGGGGCCCTGGGCAGCCTGGGCTGCTGTGAAATGTGGAGGTTGATGGCCCTGCCTGTGGTGGGGGGGTTGGAACTTCATGATCCTTGAGGTCCCTTCCAACCCAAACCATTCTGTGATACCATGAATAGATGGAAAGGTTTTGTCACTATGCACAAGACTTGGGATTTTAGATTTCTGCGTTTCTATTTCTCTGTTCTAGTTAGTCTTAAAAATATCTTGGATATCAACATTGGGTATATTGGGTTCAAAGTGAAGATTGGCATGGTAAGGTAGGTAGAAGATCCCCTTTAAACAGGGGTCTGTAGAAGATGCTTGTGGAGAGATAACACAGCATTTTGTACCACTGCTCCTTCCATCACATAGCTAGGTGTTTATCCATCCTTCCAGTTTCATCCAGTGATTCTTCAGTGCTTGTTGTCTAAGAAATCCGTGGACCAGAGATCAGTGATGTTCTCATTTGCAGGTGTACCTGGGGCAGTGGGGAGCTCTGGGATTGCTCTGACATAGGGTTGGGGTGTGGGGATGCTCTGTGGGGCTGGGGTTGGGCTTGGTGATCCCTGTGGGTCCCATGGAGCTTCCTCTGCTGTGTGTTGGAGGGGCAGCAGGTCTGACAGCTTCCCTGCAGTGCTATAAAGTGCCTGAGAGCAGCAGTTTACCATCTACTTGACAGCATAGCCGTATGCTTCTCCAAATGGGGCTGTGGGTGGTGGTTGTGTGTTCTACAGTGCAGCCTGGTGGCTGTCCAAGAAGCCTTTTTTTGTTTGTTTGTTTTTAAATGAAGTTGGGATTATTGAATATTAAATGTTTTGAGAATTGAAGCAGTTTTAGGAACAGAATCATGGAATTATTCAGGTTGGAAAAGATCTCAAAGGTCATCACGTCCAACCCCAGCCACCCGACCATGCCAACTGACCACATCCCTCAGTGCCACATCCCCACAGTTCTGGAACACCTCCAGGGATGGGGACTCCCTGGGCAACTGTGCCACTATATTACTTATATAATTTGGAGAAGAAAATTTCCCTAATATCCACTCTGAACCTGCCCCTGTGATTCTACTTAAGGCAAAGAAAGCACTGAGATTTCGGAGCATGTGTGGATTTGAGCATAGTGCTGAAACTTTCAGTCTTCCAAAGCAAAGAGAGATTGAATCATGGTCATTTCCCTGGTCATCCTAATGCCAAAAAGCACTTATCTGCAAAGCTGTTCAAGTCTCTACGTTCACAAGAGCAGGTTGGATGGGACCCTGGACAACCTGCTCTGGTACCAGGTCTGGAGGCTGGTGGCCCTGCCTGTGGTTCTGGGGGGGTTGGAACTTGATGATCCTCAGGCTCCCTTCCAATCCAAGCTATTCCAAGAATGTGTGAATACAAGCAGACAGAGCATCTGGCTCAGTTCTCTGGGTCACTGGTTGTATGTGGTGTAGCTTTGTGTTGTTGGAGGAGAGGGCTGAGATAACATCTTGGTGTCCATTGAAGACACCAAGGCTGACATCAGGCTTGCACTGAGCATTCCGTGGCTGTCAGTGGGGTGGGTGTAGCACACTGATGGCAGAGCTGTCAGGTGTTTGGAAATATTGGGTGTCCTGGGTGGCTGATAATGAAATGCATGGTGGCAATGTGTCTGGGATGGTATAAAAACATTAATTCCATGTGTGCGGAGATGTAGACATGAGCTGTGGGTATCCCTACTCATTGTGGGGAGTGGACCATGTGGGCTCTAAGGGTTCCTTTGCAATTCTATGATACTAGTTTGGCTCTGTCCTTTTTGTAAAAGGTGGATTTGTGTTGAACACATCAGCACTGTTCTCTGTAGGTGGGAAATAATTAGGCAACCATTGTTAACCCTAACGAGCAGCAGGCAAGCTGTTCCATCAGACCCGAGCCTTACTCCACAAGAAAGGAGGGGGCAAAGCTGGGAGGTTAGGAAAGGGAATCAGTCCTGTTCAGCCTTACCTTTCAGCCTCCTTCAGGCTGTGGGGAGCTGGACCCTCTGGGGCACAGAGGAAAGGCTTAGCAGGCAGGTGGCTGAATGCCCCAGTGCTCTGGGATTGCAGGTATTAGGAGGAAGTTTTTCAGCCAGAGGGTGGTGAGGCAGTGGAACAGGTTGCCCAAGGAAGTTGTGGATGCCCCATCCTTGCAGGCATTCAAGGCCAGGCTGGATGTGGCTCTGGGCAGCCTGGTCTGCTGGTTGGCGACCTGCACACAGCAGGGGGTTGGAACTGGGTGAGCATTGTGCTCCTTTTCACCTGCACGCCCTGTTCTGACACACGGTCCTGGTCGATGCTGATGGCAGGCTGGGCAGTGTGGGCAGGGTGTGTGTTGTTTGCCTTTACGTGGGGCACAGGCACTGCTCAGTAGTGGCATGTGGGGTTATGAGGGCCAAGTTTCCACCTGGTGTGGTGAAGCTTTTGGGGTCTGGTGTGACAAGCTGAGATGGAAATCCCAGGTACCAACTGGAACAGAGAAGGTGACAGAAGGTTTGCTGCCTGAAGCCAGTAACATTTCATCTTCAGTAACAACAGCAAATGTGGTCTGCGGATTCTTAGGAATAAAGGTTATATTTGGTGTCAGGCTTTTTGGTGTGAGCCGTGTAAATAGTACAGAAGGATGTATTGAATCATTGTTTGAGCTGCATCAAACTGGGGTGTGCTCTTTGAAGTACAATTGTTTTGATCTGTTCCTTGGTTTTTTGTTTTTTGCAGCTTTTCCGACGCGTGGCAGCTGCCTTGCCTGGAATGGAAAGCACACAAGACAAAAGTAGAGAAGACAGTATCCTTTATGCTGCAGAGCTGTGGTGGCAGAGCGCTGCCAGTTACCGTGGGTGAAGAGAATGCAGGTCCTGAATAACAAAGGGAGGAGGAGGAGGAAGGGGGTGGTGTCTGTCCTGCAGCCCTTGGTCAGCTTATGAGAGGGGAATGGAGGCAAGTAAGGCTTGAGGTTGAAATGCTGAGGAGGAACCCTGCTCATGCAAATGGAGGAATCCCCAAGGATGGAGATCCTGTAGCCATTTAGCCCTGCACAGAAGGACCTGGGGGTCCTGGTGGATGAAAAGCTGAACATGAGCCAGCAGTGTGCTCCTGCAGCTCAGAAAGCAAATGGGCTCCATCAGAAGAGGGGTGGCCAGCAGGGACGGAGGTGATTGTCCCTCTCTGCTCTGCTCGTGTGAGGCCCAATCTGCAGTACTGTGTCCAGGTCTGGAGCACCCAGTACAAGAAAGACAGGGAGCTGTTGGAGAGGGTCCAGAGGAGCCACAAAGATGATCAGAGGGCTGCAGCACCTCCCCTACAAAGACAGACTGAGGGAGCTGGGCTTGTTCAGCCTGGAGAAGAGAAGACTGTGGGGTGAGCTCATTGCAGCCTTCCAGGTCCTAAAGGGAGCCTACAGACAGGAGGAGAGTCAACTCTTGGAAAGGGGAGATAACAGCAGGACAAGGGGAAATGGTTTGAAGTTGAAGGAGGAAAGATTGAGGTTGGATGTCAGGGGGAAGTTGTTTGCTGTGAGAGTGATGAGGTGCTGGAACAGCTGCCCAGAGAGGCTGTGGATGCCCCGTCCATCCCTGGAGGTGTTCAAGGCCAGGTTGGATGGGGCCCTGGGCAGCCTGGGCTGCTGTGAAATGTGGAGGTTGGTGGCCCTGCGTGTGGTGGGGGGTTGGAGCTTCATGTTCCTTGAGGTCCCTTCCAAGCCTGGCCATTCTATGGTTCTATGATTGCACTGATGCTAGTTCTTAACCTCAGAGCACTCTGGGCAAACATAGGGCTGAAGCTACACTTCCTGTGAAACATTGTAGAGCAGAGGAGTAACAGAGGGTCTGGGGGCTGTGCTGAGGCACAAGCTCTGAGTGATATACTTGGGGTTGATGAAAAATCCTTCATTTGGCAGGTCACCAAAGGTTAATGAACAACCATCTTTGTTAACAAGAGGATGGTGGTAGGATACACAAGCACACACAGTTTCACTATCAGGGAGTTTCATCACCAATTTCTAAATGGGAGAGTAATAAGGCACTTTGAATTTGACTTCCTGCAGCCTGCAGATAGCAGGAACTGAATGATTGTCTCCCCTGGGATTAATGGTGGGGGATTTTCCAGAGGCTCTTTCACAGATGACGGAGGGTTTGAGGGCTTTGTACTGCTTTTGCTGAGCATTGGAGCCCTCATACATACGTAAAGGTCTAAATCAGCCAAATGGATCCAATGCTTGAAATGAATTCTTGCTCTTTCCCTTCTCTTTGTCCTCCTAACCTCTGTAAAGAGCAACTTGTACCCCCAAGGAGAGGAGGTGGAAGCAGCAACTGCCCGACCCGTGTGTGTTGGCCTTAACTCCTCCCTCCCAGTGATTGACATCAAACTGGAAAAGCCTCAAGAGCAGCCTGTCAGTGAAGGAGGCTGCTCCTGCTAATACCGTGTGGCTTCTGACTTCCTCCAGAACATCACTGCTTTCCCTCCCTTTACTCTTCATTGACTGCAGTGTGAATATTGGCTTGAACCTTCCCCTTTCAGTAATAACGTATTGCAGTTCATCATCGCTGGCTGTCTCGTGGAGATGATCTATTAGCTTCACAAGCACACACACACACACACACACACACACACAAAGAAAATGTCGGTGTCTTCATTATTTATAAGAAAAAGAAAAAAAAAAAAGCCAAAATATTCCAGCGTATTCTAGTTATAACTTAAAAAAAAAAAAAAGAAAAAAAAAAGAAAGAAAAAAAAAACCAACAACAAAAAAAAAAAGCAAAGAAAAAATAGGTACAATTTCTTAATATTTGTTCCTTTTTTAATATGTTACGATACTGCACTTTGAAATGATGGAACCCCGAGTAAGTTTGGAACTGGACATAGGTGAGATGTATGTGCAGAAGAGTGCTGTCAACCGTCCCCTGCAGTGTCTGCCCACGTGGGGGGAGCAGAGGAGAGAGCTCCAGTGCTGTCCTTACCCAGCAGTCACACAGCTGGTGGCTAAAGCTGAGCTCCTGTGCTTGGAGCAGAGGTAGCACGGATGGTTTTCAAAGCCCTACCTTAGCAGGGTTTGGAGCGCGGGGTCTTCTGGGGGGTGGGAGGGGGAGGGGATGATTGGAACCAGAAGGATCTGGAGGGGTGGGAGGGATGTGTGTGCGTTAGCAAAACGCTCGCAGGGAACGAGGAGATGTGTTTGGAGTGTGAGATGGGTTTGAAGAGCGTTTTTTCCTTTTACGTAGAAGAAGAAGAAGAAGAAATGAAACGATGGCTGCGTGGAGAGGTGGGAGCGTGGCATTGCAGCTCTTTGGAGGATAACAGCGTGGCGTTTCCGTGGTTAAGAAAGGGGAGATTTGAAAGGAACGCTGCCTGAGCTGATGGGGACGTGTGAGTTGGGCAGAAGGAAGGAGCAGAGGTGGCCTTCCCAGGCCATGAGGGAGGGCGGTGGGCACGGCCGTACTGCAGTGAGGTCCCATGGGGGTCCTGGAGGGAGGCCGCAGCCAGAGGGGCAGAGAGTTGGGTGGGATGGAAGCCAATTTATGGCAATGCAGACGGATGCCTTTATTTTTTAGCTTTTCTTTTTTTTTTTTTTTTGTTGGGTCTTCCAGTTGGGTTAGTTCTGTTTGTTTTTTTTTTTTTTACATAGAGCTGTAGAGGTTGGTTCGATCAGAGTCGCTTCGTTTTCTATTGAACTAGGCTTCTAATTAACCGTTCCTCTTTGATATTTATTTCTCTGCTTAATATATATTTTTTTTTACTCTTTTGGGTAATTTTGGTGGTATTTTTGCAAAGGAGTCTGTGTAGAGCTTTGCTGGTGTGGCGAGATGTATCTACCCGAGAAACACGGACGGAACACACTAGAAGTGCACCCTTTTACTCTTTACTAGTCATTGTGAAGTTGCTGTGTCAGTTAATAAACACAATTGTAAATACATTGTTTGCTGGGCGAATAAGGCTGAGATCCAGTGCAGGAAGGGGTTCTTGAGTGTGCGTTGCATTGCTGCTCACCAGCAGCTGCACATCCGGGCGCCTCTTGGTTCTCCTCTGCCCTGAAATAATGAAGGGAACCATCCTCTCCACCCCATGCACCAGGAGTGGCTGTAACCTCGTGAGGTTCCCCATTCCCTGTGCCAGGCTCGTGCCCTGCCCTGGGTCTCTAGCAACTCTGCACAACAAGAACTTCAAAGGCAGAATGAGCTGTAAAGTGCTTTTATAATGCAATATCAAAGGCAAGTTTTTTTTTGTTTCGTTTTGTTTTGTTTTTTTAACGTGGCATGTCTTGAAATAAACATCAATGATATGTGACAAAGGATCATTCTTTCTTTTTAAGAAGCTCTCGAGGGGAAGGAAACCTGGCTGCTTTTCCTGTATTGTACTGGTCTGAACTGTGCAGAAACGATCCATCTTGCCTCTTTGGTTATTTTTCGTTGGCTTTTCTTCTTCCTTTCGGTTTTCACCCAATCCACGTTGGCCATCGTTTCCCTGTTCCCCACTGGCACACACTTTTTGGGTTTCCCTTTGCTTTTCCTCCATTGGCATGGCCAGTAGAACCAGGGAACAGACTTCTTTTGTGATGACTTTGATGACAGTGAAGGTTTCTGCTCTGTTTCTGTTCTCCTCCCCGCTCTGGTTGTTGTACAGTACATGACGCAGCTGTCCATTACTCACTTTTTTGTCTTGATAACAAGTAGTTGAAGAAATTGTATAAGGGGGAAAAAAAAAAAAGGTTCCTTTTCTTCATGTTGGAATGTCACTGGTACCTCAGCTCTGTTTGATAATATGAAACAACAAAAGAATCCGTAGCGCTTGAACTAAATAAATACCTGTCTCATTGGAAGGCTCCTCTCTCTTCTCTGCCTCTATCCATCGTAACGTGGGGTTTCCTCTGGGTTTGAGGTGTTGGAGGGAGCAGTGTGTGAAGGTTGGAGGTTTTGGGGGGAAGGCAAAACAGTGCTCGGTGCTGTGCTGCTGCTGTTGCCCTCTGCCCGATGCAGCTTTGCCTTTCTGCTCCTTTCTTGCTTTTTTGCATCCAGCAGCTTCCTGCGTTGTGTCCCGCCTTAGGGGTGCACTCCTTGGACCTGTGGTTGGACCGAATCCCCCTGCTGGTGGATCCCACTCCAGCCCCATCCTACCAGAGACAGCAGCAGGAATGGGCAGGTGAGTACAGGTGGCAGAAGTGCCCCCTGCTTGTCCTGTGGTCCTGTGTGGTTGAAAATCTCCCCTCTTTTGGCCTCAATTGGATGTCAGGAGGAAAACCTTCACTGTGAGCCCAAGCATTGTGATGCTGCTCAGAGCTGTGGGTCCTGAGGCTGCAGATGGGACTGTGGGCACAGAGCTATGGGTCCCTGGCCATGGAGGGGTGGAGTTGGAGGGCTCTGAGGGCCCTTCCCACCCAAACTGCTCTGGGGTTCTGGTTCCTGGAGGGGAGCAAAGCAGTCATGGGTCGCTGTCTGTTCTGTAGGAACACCAGCAGCCCAATCCCAAGTGCACTCCTTGTAAGGTCTTTATCAAAAACTTTGAGTGTGGTCTTGTGGGGGTGCCCTGGTATGGTTGTTAGGGCAACAGGGCAGTGCTGGTACCAGTCTGTGCTGTTACAGAGCTGTAGAGCATCCATCCCATCAGCAATCAGGGTGGCAGCGTGCTGCACTCCCTGGCAGCCTCATTGCAAACCCCACTGCAGCCATGCATGGCCCTACATAGGAAATTATTTGGGATCCCTTTGTACCATCTTTGGGACTGAGCAGCTGCAGGGTGAGGTGAACATTTGGGTCACTGCAGGGGGGAGATTTTGCTACTCCTCCTTATGGCTGCAGTGCTGGGGTTGAGTTTTCCCTATAGGGATATCCTCCCTCCCCCTGTAGGGATGCTTGAAGCTTGCTTCCCAGCTGCCCGTTGCCCTTTCTGAGCCCAACCTTCCAGGCTCACCCAGGGTATAAATTAAAGCAGTTCCACGTCAGCCACCCGCAGAGCACATCTGGAAGGAGGACGGCTGCCCTGATTGTGTTAAGGTTTGATTAATGGCACCACTAATTAAAGTGCTGCAATCACCCATTCCCCTGCACGCCATCTGCTCGGTGCATTGGCACTGCTGGGCAGTCAGGAGATGCAGTGAGGCCGGGTGCTGACAGTGGCAGGGATGTGCCCACCTCTCATTGCACGCTGCACTGCATTCATCCCCATGTGGGGCTTTCTGAAGCACTTCTGGGGCTCAGCAGGAGCAGGGCACACCTCCATTCTGCTGCTTTTGTCCAGATTTAATTGCAGTGTGTTTAATTAGGATTGGAACTCGATCCTGAAGGTCCCTTCCACCCCAAAGCCAGGTGGCATTGCAGTGGGATGCTGCTGCATCCTTTGGTGTCCCCGTGCTGTGGTACCACAGGTCCAGGCTCACCCCAGGGTCTGTATCCCAGGTGCTGCTGCAGAGTTGGAGACCTCCATCAGCACTAATTGGTGGCAGTGGCTAATTGCCTCCCAGTTGTGTGAGCTGGGGACCTCATGGGGACAGGAGTTGAACACTTTTCCCCATTAAATGCTCCTTGTTTGGTGACAGAAGCAGCCCCACGGAGTATGGTGGGGCCCATATGGGTCTCTGGGGTGGGGATGCTGTGCAGAGGGTCTTTGGGGGCTCTTTCCCAGCTCCTTCCCAGCACCACACAGACCCCAAACCCCACAGTGCTGCTCACAGCCCTCCTCACCCTCCTCATTCCATAGCCTGGGTCTCATTGGGGCCACTTTTATTAGCCTTTTTATTTTAATTTTCTCCAAAAAACAGTGGTTGCAGGATTGGGTTTGCAGCAGTGGTGATGTGAGGAAGGCCGGGGAAAGGATGAGGGTGACATCAGGGGACATCCCGAGCCCCGAGGAGACGAAGCTTTGCCCAAAGAATGGGCCAGTTGCTGGTGCTGCTGTTGGTTTCCTACTTGTGGTTTTCAGTCTTTTTTTTTTTTTTTTTTCTTGAGCTGTTTATTTCATATCAGAGTTCTTGCAGTGATGCTCCTGGTGCTGCTCAGTGTGTGAATGTGGCCCTGTTGTGCACTGCTCTGGTTTGGAGCCACCCTAAGTGACCGTCCCCATGCATCGACCTCAAATCAAAGCCTCAGTGCCCAAGGAGCTCTTCCCATTCCCCAAAACCTCAGTGCTGTGCGTCCTTCCTGGAGCTGCTGCTGCTAGGTGATGGCTGGGGAAGCCCCATTGTGGCCAAGGCTTTTCTCATCCCAAATCTTGCATTCCCATCCCAATTCCAGGGTTCTTATTTGAATTCCCGGTTTCCAATCCCAATTCCTAGGTTCCCATCTCACTTCCTGGGGTTCCCATCTCAATTTCTGTGTTCCCATCCCAGTTCCTCGATTCCCATCACAATTCCTACATTTCCACCTCACTTCCTGGGGATCCATTCTTAATTTCTTAATTGTGTACTCAATTCAATTCTTGCATTCCCATCCTGGTTCCTGGATTCCCGTTTCACTTCCTGGCATTGCTATCTCACTTCTGGTGTTCCCATCCCATTTCCTGGAATTCCCAATTCCTGAGTTCCCACCTCACTTCCTGGGGTTCCCATCTCAATCTCTGCTCTTAGTTCAATTCTTGCATTCCCATTCCTATTCCCAGTGTTTCCATCCCAGTTCCAGGTTCCTGAAGTTCCCATCCCAGTTCCTGGGTTGTTGACCCCAGTTCACAAGGGTTTGTCCCCAGTTCCTGAGTTTGCTCAGCCCCAGGGACTGGAGTGAGCCTGAAAGCCAGACAAAGGCATGGAGCTGCTCATGTGTATGGGGGTCTCTGAGTATGGGATGAGGGTTCTCATTCCCCCCCTTGCACTCAAATCCTCCTCCATTCTCTCATTCTTCACACCAGCCCTGTGCCCGTTTCCTACCCTGGCACCCATGGGCATTTGCAGATTGGTTTCTCCCTTCCTCAGGGCTGCAGTTTTGGGGAAAAAAACACTGTGGTGCTGGTGCCTCTCCCCAAAAGACCCTTCAAAAAAGCAGTTTTGTAAGGAGAACCTGGCTGCCTCCCTGAAATGGCTACTGGGAGCAGCAACCCTCCAAACTCATCCCAAAAAAAAACTTCAGGTATTTCTGCAGCTAGAGATTTGGGGTGGTGGATGGTGCCAGGCTGCGGGGCCACATCCTCCCATTCTCAGCAGTTTTTCTGGGGCAGCGAAGGGTCTTGGCTTAGGTTTTTGGGCTTGTGTGGGTTATCTGATGCAAAAGCCGTGGGTGGGCGGGAGGGGGTTGCTCCCCTTTGTCCCAAAAAGATGATTTCCGGGGGGTGCCAAGCCAGGGATGTATTACCTCGGGTTGGGGAGCCAAAGGGTTCACTAAAACCAGCATGGCATCCACATGAAGGAGCCCAGGGCTGCACCAGTGGCAGCCCCAGCCAGCAGCCCCAAGGCCATCTGGTCCCCGGAGACGCGGTAGGGATCCTCGCGCACGATGACGTGGGTCACCCCGGGGGCTGCAAGGCAAAAAGGGAGCAGTGGGTGGCCTGGGGGTCCCCTGTGGGGGTCACGTCCTCCCCACCCCTCCCCCCCCAGAAACCCTGAAAATCTCCCAAGCCCCCCCCACTCCATCCCCTATCCCTGTGGACCACCCCAAGTGCCGCCATGCGCTGAGTTTGCAGGGTCTCAGCCCACTCCATCCTACAAATACTTCCAAGTATGACCAGGCTTGGAGCTGTGACCCACTGAGTGTCCCCAGGTCAGCATCAAATGGCACAGAGAGAAGGGGAGAATGACCCACCTCCATACTGGTGGCCGTAGTGGCCAGAGCTGATGTAGGCGGTCTGGTGGGAGTCGATGGGCACCGTCTGGTAGTAGTCATCATCATAGGGGTCATAGACATGCACCTGGGTGTGATGGGAACAGTGTCAGGCCAGTTTCTGCCTTTTCTCCCCTAAACTCCATCCCTATTGCCTTAATTATGTCCCCATCACTTTAACTCTGACCCATCCCCTTAACTCTGCCCCTGTTCCCTTTGACTGTCCCCATTCCTCTTAACTCTGCCCTTCTCCTTCCCCATTCCCTTTAACTGGGTTCTCGTCACTTTAACTCTGCCCCTGCTCCCCTGAACTGCCCCCATTGCTCTGAAATTTGTCCCTGCTCCCTTAACTCCCCCATCACTTCCCCCTGTCCCCATTGCCCTCAGCTCTGTCTTCATCACCTTAACTGCCATTATCACCTTAACTTCATCCCCTCACCTTAACTGTGTCCCCATTGCTTTTAACTCTGCCCCTATCCCCTTAACCGTGTCCCCATCACCTTAATTTGTAGAATCACAGAATCATTATGGCTGGGACAGCATTCCAAGATCCCCAACCTTAATCCCAACCCGTCCCCACCATGCCCACTGACCACATCCCTAATTCTGCCCCTTTCTCTTAACTGTGTCCCCATCCCCTTAACTGTGACCGCATCACTAACTCTCACCCTGCTACACTGAACTCTTTCCCCATCGTCACAACTCTGCCCGTATAACCTTAACTCTGCCCCTATCCCCTTATAGTTACGTCCCCATTGCCATCCCCAGCTCTTCCCATTGGTGCCCCTGATGCCCCTATTTCAGGGGATGAGGGTGGGGAAGCCTCACCGGGGTGGATTTCGCCTCCAGCACTGCCATCTTCCATGCACTGCGAAGGAAGCAGAGGGAGTGGGCTGGGGGCTCGGCTGGGCAGCAGCCCCCTCCCTCCAGTTATGCCAGCATTAATCCTTAATTCCCAATTAGCACAGTGATGGGGATGGGACAGGGACCCAATGGCACAGGGCTGGGGATGGGGTGCATGGCAGGAATGTCTCGGGGTGAATGAGGTGGGAATGTGACCCCAAACTGGTGGATAATGGGTGAGTTTCCCCCCCATCCCAAGTGTCTCAACACAGAATCATAGAACAGCTTAGATTGGAAGGGACCTCAAAGACCATCCAGTTCCAACATTTCCCTGTTGTCTAAGAGCAGCTTAAGGTTTCTTGCTATTAAAGATAGAGGAGCGGTGCTAAAAGCGGCATTGCATCATCCTGGGCATGGCCTTAATCCAATTAGCACTCCACGTTTGCATTATTTATCAACGAACGCAGATGGAAATGCTGTCACAGTTCTTTGTGGTTGGCTAAGAGGTGATTTCTCATCCAGGATGCTTAAAAATAGCTCTGCTTGGCTCAGAGGTATTCAGTGAGAAAAGCAAATCTGCACCCCCTGCCCTGCATATGACCTCGGGGCTTGCAGCAGGAGGGAGCTGGGGGCAGCAGAACGTGATTTTCTCCCCACTGAGGTGCTTTTGGGGCCAGGATAGTGGGGGCTGGAGCTGCTGGGGGGATTTGGGCACTTACATGGCATCGTCCTCACTTTCAGCACACAGCGTCGTCTTGGAGCCATCCCGCAGCACAATGGTCAGCAGGCACTCGCGGCTCTTCCCCTCGGGTGGCTGCACGTCTGCAAGGGGACAGCCAGAGCCTACCTCAGCAGGGGGACTCGAGGGGACCCCCAAAGCCACCTGAGGGGACCCGCAGTGTCAACCAATGGGATTTCCAAAGCCAAATCAGTGGGACCCCCAAAGCAACCCAGTGGAGCCCCCAAAACCACCCAAGCGGATCCCCAAAGCTGTCCTCTGGGACCTCCAAAGCCACCTGAGGGGACTCAGTGCCAACCAGTGGGATCCCCAAAGCCAAACCAGCGGGGTCCCCAAAACCACCCAAGGGGATCCCCAAAGTTCCCTGAGGGGACCACAGTGCCAACCAATGGGATCCCCAATGCCAACCCAGTGGATCTCCCAAAGCAACCTGGTGGGACTCCCAAAGCCACCAAAGGGGATCCCCAAAGCTGTCCTTCAGGACCCCCAAAGCCACCTGAGGGAAACCACAGTGCCAACTGGGATCCCCAAAGCCAACCCAGTGAGGCCCCCAAAACCACCCAAGGGGATCCCCAAAGTCCCCTGAGGGGACCACAGTGCCAACCAATGGGATCCCCAATGCCAACCCAGCAGGGCCCCCAAAGCCACCCAAGGGAATCCCCAAAGCCACCTGAGGGGGCACAGAATGCCAACCAATGGGATCCCCAATGCCAACCCAGTGGATCCCCCAAAGCAACCCAGTGGGGCACCCAAAGCCACCCAAGGGGATCCCCATAGCCACCTGAGGGGGCACAGAATGCCAACCAATGGGATCCCCAAAGCCAATGCAGTGGGACCCCCAGAACCACCCAAGGGGATCCCTAAAGCTGTCCTTCAGGACCCCCAAAGCCACCTGAGGGGACCCACAGTGCCAACCAATGGGATCCCCAAAGCCAGCCCAGTGGGGCCCCCAAAGCAACCCAAGGGGATGCACAGTGCCAACCTGTGGGATCCCCAAAGCCAACACAGTGAGGCCCCCCAAAACCACCCAAAGGGATCCCCAAAGCCACCTGAGGACACAGTGCCACCCAAGGGGATCCCCAATGGGATTGGGATCCCCATGGGTTGGGATTTTTCACCCCAAAAGCCATGCTCAGAGTTTGGCTTTGGTTTTCTCTTTGTCTCTGCGCTCAAAGGTCAGGCACCAACGCCAGCAGGAACTTCCACCTCCGCAGCAGAAAATGACCCCAAGTTTCCCACCCGGTGTTGGGCTGAGTTTGCTTTGGATGTGCCAAATCTGACAGACACACACAAGAGGGACCCAAAACATAACGCGGTGTTTGCCATCGCGCTCCGACTTTGCCAGGAGCTCCATGGAGGCTCCGGCATCTCAGTGTGAAGAAAAGCACTTTGTGCTGCACCGTGGGCTGAGCTGAGCTCTGCTGTGTTTGTGCGAGACGGAGCGCTGAGTCAGAACCGTGGGAGCGTTGGGAATGAGTGAGTGGAGGTGGGGAAAGAAGAGGGGAGAGGACACACATCTGGTGGGGATGAGGCGGTGCGGGATGGAGCAGGCACAGCCTTTGGGGTTGGGTGGGCAAAGAGCATGGATTGAAGTGGACGCAGCCACACAGAGCCCAGGACTCGGGGACACAGTGTGTGGACATGGATCCTCGTGACACTGAATGTGGGGACTTTGGGATTCCAAGCTTGGAGATGCAGTGCAGAGGTAGAGCTGGGGGATGTGGCTTGGGGACGCAGGATTTGGGGATATGGGGGTTGGGAATGCCAAACTTGGGTACATAAGGATTGGAGATGTGGAAAATGGGGACACAGGGCATGGGACAAAGAGCTTGGGGACATGGGGGCTGGGAATGCAGAGCTAGGGTATGTAAGTATTGGAGACACAGAACATGGTGAAACAGCTTGGGCACAATAAGGATTGGGGGGACAGTGTGTGGGGACTGAGAGCTTGGGGATGCAGAGCTTGGGAATAGAGGGCTTGGGGACACAGGATGTGGAGTTTGGGGACTCAACTTGGAGACCCATCTTAGGGATGCAGAGCCTGAGTACACAAGGAGTGGGGACACAACAACTGGGGACACAGAGCTTGGGGGATACGGGGGTACAGGGAATGGGGACACGGGAACATGGGGCTTGGGGGACACAAGGAGTGGGGACACAGGGATTGGGGCTTCAGGGCTTTGCTCACCGCGGCACTCGCGGCCGGTCCGCACGTCGCGGCAGCTGTACTTGATGTGGATGCGCCCGTCCATGTCGCGCTGCGTCTCGTCGTGGTAGTACACCAAGCTGCCATCCAGGTAGAGGACAAACCAATTCCTCTTCCAGCGGCGCAGGATGGAGCCTGGGGGATGGTGGGGTGTGAGTGACCCTGAATCTGCAGTGGGATCCCGCTGCCCCCCGGCACAACACGCAGGGTGCCTGGTTTGGGGATGAACCACAGCGGTGTGGCTTTAACGAAACTCTTGGATGCATCCCTGAAAAAGCCATTGGGGCATCTCGCAGTCCTTATAGGATGGGAGCAGGAGGGTCCTCATAGCATATCCGTGGCTGAGCTCCGTGACCCCAAACTGCATCCTGGGTGTGGGCACCCAGTGTGGAGCTCAGGAACAGAACCCCATTGAGATTGGGATTGGGATTGGCACTCACTCTGCCGCCACAGCCATCCGCTCTTCACCAGTGCCATGGCCACGGGAGGGCTTCCGGACCTTCTGTTGCAGGGAGGGAAAAAATAGAAGAACAGAAAGAACAGGGTTAGAAGAGCAGCTCCTGCTGCCCCCACTCCCTCCCCGTGGGGCTGCGGGAGGGATATGGGAAATGCCCGGGTGAATCGGGGCCGTGCAGACGTAGGGTTTCATAACCAGGGAAACACTGAGGTGGGGAGGGGCTGTGCCACCTTTCTTGGTGCCTTTAATCTCGTTGGGATTTAGGGATTATCGTCCCGTGGAGGTAAATGGAGAAATCCGGGACGCGGATGAAAACAGGCGCTCCCTCCCCACGGCCCCGGTAACTTTCCACGCCGAACGGCGGCCGCACTTGTTTTGTTTTCCTGCCTGGATGGAAATTAATCCTTAATGAGGCCATGAAGTCATCGCTCCCCAGGTCCCCGAGCAGTGACAGCAGCACAGTGCCAGGCAAGAACGGCCCCATCACTGGGCACCCAACGCCGCAGCACTGCCTGAAGGCCAGGGTGTCCCCCTGGGGTCTGTGACCCCCGTCCCCCTCCACCCACAACCCCTGAAATCACAGCACCTCACCTGCTGCTCACATCTCTGGGCACCGTCACCCTCCTGTGCTCACATCCCCAATACTCACATCTGGTGTTCTCCTGTCCCCCCCCCGGCACCTTTTCTGCCTCCATATCTACTTTGTGGGGCACCATTTTCTCCATCCCCACAGTGCCCACCTCCCCATGTACACACACCCCCAGTTCAGCACCCGCATCTCCATTGCTGCCCTCCCCCTGCATCCCATACCTGGTTAATCCCTGCATCCCATTCCCCTGTGCCCCCACCCCCTGTATCCTCATCCCTTGTACCCCATCCCTCTGTTCCCCACCCCTTTTACTCCATTCCTGGTACCCCATCCCCTTGTACCCATATCTCCAACTCTGGCATCCCCCATGCCCCTGTACCCAAATCCCTTGCACCTCCTTTTCCATTTACCCCATTCCCCTGTACCCCATCCCTTTGTATCTCCATTCCCTCTCTTTGTTCCCCCATCCTTCTGTAACTCCATCCCATTACCCCCATCCCTTTGTACCCTCATCCCTCATACCCCCATCCCCTGTACCTCCATCCCTTTATACCTCCCATCCCCCTTTGTCCCCTCCCTGTTATCCCCATCCCTTGTACCCCCTATATCCCCTTATACCCCATCCTCTGATACCCCCATCCCCCTGTTTCCAAATCCCTACTAACCCCATCTCCCCGTACCCCCATCCTTTACATCCCATCCCTTGTACCCCCCGTATCCCCTTCTACCCCATCCCCTGGTACTCCCATCTCCCTGGTACCACAATCCCTGCTACCTTCATCCATTGTACCCCCCTTACCCCCCTGTACCCCCACCCCCTGTACCCCATCCCCCTGTAACTCCTGCTTACCCCAATCCCCCCATACCCCACTCCCCTTGCACACCCATCCCTTTGCACCACCATCCCCCCATACCCCCTCCTCCTGCATCCCACCCCCTCGCACCCCATCCCAAATTCCTCACCCCACTGCCCCCCGGATCCCCCCCGGTCCCCTCACCGTACACAGCAGCACAGCAGATCCCCGCTGCGCTCCGCTCCCGCTCGCGTTCCCTCCGCCCGTCCCCGCCGCACGCACAGCGAGCTGGGAGCTGTAGTCCGACACTGGGTAACGATCCTAAAGGAGCTGTGGGGCTCTTAGGAAAAATGGCCATTTGGGGGTAATTTGAGATCTCGAAGCATTTCGTGGGGTTGGTGATCCTGAGGATGCTGCGGGTGGGATGGGGTGAGTGATCCTGGAGGGGGTCACAGCATCACCTCCACCCCACAGAGCAGAGGTGGGGTCAGGGTTGGGCTGAGAGTCACTGCCTGAATGTGAGAGCCCCAAAAAGTGGGGATGCACAGAGGGTCCCTCCCCCATTCCAGAGCCCTGATAACCCCCTGTGATGCACACAGCATCACACAGATGGAATGGCCGCGTGGTTGGGTGAATGGGGAAAAAAAAAAAAGCAGCTGGGAATTCCAAGTGTGCTCTGGGTGATGGCGGGGGGGTCTTCTGGGGGACACAGCTCGGAACGGAGCCCTGAGGCCATGGGGTACACAGAGGATGCTGGGGAGGGGGTCAAGTTGCTTAACTCCTCTGTGGAATCCCAGCACTGGGGGCTGGAGAAGTGGGAGGGGAAACACCTTCTGCAGGGATACCCCCAGTCTAACGCCAGGTTTGGGGGTTCATAAGGCAGGAGGAGGTGGGGGGAAGTCAGCAATGCCCTGGCTCTGCAGAACAGCATCTGGGGTCATCAATTCAGCCCCTTCTGCCAAAACCTGCAATGGGAAGGGGATAAAACTGCATGTTTTGGGGAAGCAGGTCCCCATAGCCACCCTGCCTGGAACTGCACAGTGAGGGACAAGCCGTGAGCAAATCCAGATGCAAGGAGCATCATACAGATGTGCAGGATGCATACGGAGCCCTGTGCAGCTCAGGAAGGGACACATCCCCTATGGCTGACCCCAGCAGTGCCCAAAATCCCTGGGGCTGGTTGGCATTGCAGGGCTTAAAATCCAACTCGGGTTATTTATAGCCAGGGCTGGGCTGCTGATACAGATGTTCGTTAAGCATTGGACAGCCCTGCATGCAAAACCCACATCCATTCTGGCAGGCTGTTCACCCAAAGCCCATCCCCTCCTGCCCTCCCTCCTTCCCTCCCTCTCTGGTGCTGGCTTTGCTGTGTTGGGCAGCAGAAGGAATTGGATCAATCCATGATGCCGGGTATCAGCTCAGCTGTGTTGTGCCTTTTGGATAGAGCTGTATGGTCTGAAATTAGACTTGGGGTTGCTTCGTTCTGAATTAGGAAGAAGATTTCCATAAGGAAGAGCAAAGCTTTGGCTCAAACGTTGGCTGGTGTCAGCCAGGCCCTTGGTGTGATTGCACCCAATGCTTTGCATAGGATCATGGAATGATAGGATGGCCTGGGTTGCAAAGGAGCACAATGAACATCTTGTTTTAATCCCCCCACTATGTGCAGAGTCGCCAACCAGCAGCCCAGGCTGCCCAGAGCCACATCCAGCCTGGCCTTGAATGCCTGCAGGGATGGGGCATCCACAGCCTCCTTGGGCAACCTGTTCCACTGCCTCACCACCCTCTGGCTGAAAAACTTCCTCCTCATATCCAACCTAAACCTCCCCTGTCTCACTTTAAAGCCATTCCCCCTTGTCCTATCACCATCCACCCTCAGAAACAGCCGTTCCCCCTCCTGTTTATCCGCTCCCTTCAAGTACTGAAGGCCACAATGAGGTCTCCCTGCAGCCTTCTCTTCTCCAAGCTCAAAAGCCCAGTTCCCTCAACCTTTCCTCACAGGAGAGCTGCTCCAGCCCTCTGACCATCTCAGTGGCCTCCTCTGGACCCGCTCCAAGAGCTCCACGTCCTTCCTGTGCTGGGTTCCCCAGGCCTGGACGCAGCACTGCAGACGGGGCCTCACAAGAGCCGAGCAGAGGGGGACAATCACCTCCCTGTCCCTGCTGGCCACCCCTTTTTCATGCAGCCCAGCACACAGTTGGCCTTCGGGCTGCAGGCTCACACTGCTGGCTCGTGCCCAGCCTCTCTTCCACCAGGACCCCCAGGTCCTCCTCCGCAGGGCTGCTCTCCAGGAGATCTTCCCCCAGTCTGTATCAATACCTGGCACTGCCCCGACCCGACGCAGCACCCTGCACTTGGCCTTACTGAACCTCATTAGGTTCTCACATTCCCACTTCTCCCACTCCCTGTTTGCCTTCCCCTCCTTCCCACGTTTCCACTCTTCCTCCACGTGCCCTGAGCTCCGCCACGGGGTCGGAATAATTTGTCCCCTTGGCAGCAGCAGCACACAGAGGTCCGGATGCCCAGTGTAAAACGGCAGCAGGTTCTCACAGGGCTGGAGGTGCTTCGTGCTGCCACGATGCGTTCGTTGGGGATGGAGGGGAAGGGAAGGGAAGGGAAGGGAAGGGAAGGGAAGGGAAGGGAAGGGAAGGGAAGGGAAGGGACGAGGGAAGGGAAGGGAGCAGCAGCACCTCCACCCCAAAACGGACGGCATTGAAGCCCCGCACGGCGCTCCGGCGCCCTCTGCAGAAGGGAACGCTGCATTTCGCAGGGCTGACTTTTCTCTCGTCGCAATCAGGTTCGGTTCATTAAGAGACCCGGACGTTTCCAGCGCCGCGCTCCGCGTCGCCCCAGTTCGGATCCTCCCCGCGGTTCTCTCCATCCGCCGCACGGTGGGGTCCCGAGCCCGGCCTTCCCGTTTCCCAGAGGCCCCGAGGTTCGGAACGGCCCCGAGGCTCCGCACGGAGCGCTCAGCCCCGAACCCGCGGCTGCGAACGGCCGGACTCAGAGCCGCGCCCCGAAGCGCTGCGGTCCGCCCGGCCCGGGACACGCGAGGCGCCCCCCGCACCCATCTCGAACTACAACTCCCGGCACGCCCCGCGGCGCCGCAGGCGCACTACAGCTCCCGGCATGCAGCGCGCTCCTACACATCCCAGCACCACCCAGCGGCGGTCCGGGCCCCGTCTACTGCGCGTCAGGACTTCGTTACCCAGAGTGCTTCGCGGCGCGCGGCCGCCGCGGTGCGATGGGGGCGGCGCGCGGGGCGTGTCGGGAGCGGTAGTCCGTGCGCGGCGGCTGTAACGGTCCCGATGCGGTGCCCCCCCACCCCCCCGCCTCTCACGCTCCCCGCCTGCCGCCGCCGCCCCCTCCCCCATTCGCTGGCGGCTGCGGGCTGAGGCAGAGCTCCGGCGGACGGAGAGCGGCTCCGGCGGGGGAGAGCCGTTACGGCTGAGGGGACGCCGCCGCCGTCTGAG